CATTAATGTTCACGTTCCCTTCATGAAGTTACCCGTTCACCACAACTTCTATTGATTTTATACAAAGAATTAGTAAAACTGTACAAATAAAATACCCATAAATAGCTCTGCCAATCGTTTTCGTAAATTACTCTAAAGAAATTGAAATCATCGTGTTATTTACGGCTACAAATTGCCTTAAATTATTATAATTTAGTTTTGTGCAATCCGCAGATCAACATTAGTTACTTAGGGAGTTTGCGAATTTTAGTACCATAGGGTTGAAATAAAATACTTATAACATTTTGAAATAAACACTTCACCGAAATTTTAGTAGTTTTATTTTATGAGGCCTTTCGCTATGCTGGCATCGTCAGACACATAACAAAAACTGAAGGTTATGTTTATTTTAACATGCATTGAACCCTATATTACCAGTTCTTCGTGAAGATTAAAATACTTATAGTTGATGTTAAACATTTAAAACTTTTGAAATTAACTTTTTTTAATATCTTGCTCCACTATAAATGTAGAATTTGTCAAGTTCATTATATCTACTGTGGTGGAAGGTTATGTTGCAATGAAGAAGTATTGGCAATGTGGTGCGAGTACCCTAGAAGATTTCTTAAACAAAATAACGAAAACAATAACAATTTTACACAAGTTACTTTAGTCGAATCGTTATATTTTTATGGACATCAGTTGTGAAAGGGTATTTGGTAGACAGATCCCGTTGTGGTTACTGGAGCCCAGACCCTTTATTTATATTCAAATACAAAAGTTAAAGGTAACATATCGAAAAGTGTCAATAATGTTTCATCCGGAACCGCTTTACACATTACTTTAGGCTAGTCCTAGAGGGTTGCAGCACCATCGTGGTTGGTGGTATTTAAACCCGGGACCTTGGATTTGACTCCAAAGCCACACGCTCTACCACTAGACCAGCTAGCTACCCTGCCAATAGTATCAATACTAGTAATATTGGTAGTAAAAATTACAATTAAAGAGATAATGAGAGTTAAAGTAATAATAGTTCAAATAATAACAACACTTACGATAAATTAATTTAACGATATTTGAATAAATTTATTTTTCCTATTATTGGGATCAATAAACTGTACAACTATTTACCTGCATTGGATGGGTTTTTCATAATATTCAATCCTGTGAAGACCAAAGTAACCTTTTTTATGGTTAAATGAGATTGGCACTCATGGACTCATGGATTTTGCACTTAAATTATGTTTTCGTTATTTTGACAATCTTTTAGTTTGCTTTAATTTCAATTATTCTATTTATGATCTTATTTGTAGTATAATAGACTAGCATTTTTCTAGAGCCAGATATATTTGGTCATCAGTTTAATTACTGTTCTGTGTTTTCAAAAATTATGTATTCTCCTCAAGAGTAAAGTAAAGAACTTAAAAAAAAAGTGACTCTCGACCATTCCAAAGTGTTTTTACCCCACGCACACAACCCAAGTAAATGTACCTTTAGAAATCGGGTCCAAAGATATAAACCCCCTCCCATGTCGTGTATTGCGTTATATAATCTTTTAAATACAAAATTATGAGTTTTTACCAGTTTTCTTGTTAAATAGGAATTACAGCTTGTATGAGCTTCATACTGTTTAATTTTCAAATCTAGTCAAATAACTATAGCCTATTCTCGACCTTATAAATGTAAAGAAATATGATTGTTGGTAAAACATTGCATATTAGTGTATGGATTTTTCCACAAAGTTAAGAAAACCTGTTTCACGGTAATGATATTTAAATGTCCTTATTTAACTCAAGAGAAACGTACTAATTCAGTTACAAAAGTCGGTTAATATCCAATAAACTTTACGCTAACACTTTTTTTTCAAAAATAGAAAAATAAATACACCTATTTATTTCAACGTTGATATTTCATACGTTGATATCAACATGGGTATTTTACATTTAAACTGTAAATTATAGTACCTAATGTTTAATGCATTTATTAAAAATTAAATTAGCGCAATTGATGATTCTACTACTGTATACAAAAATTAATAGTTAAAATTGCTTTACTTGTTAGGTTTGTTGAAAAATGTTTTGTAAAAAGAGAAGCTATTTTAATCAACAAATTCAATTAGCAGGAGGAAAAACAAAAATATGAAATGAATATGTAAAAATTTTATTAGAAAATGTGAAATTTATAGCGGAAGAGCAATAAAAAAGTAACAAACAGATGTGCTGTTTGTTAGGCATTATGAGAAGTTAGAGCGAGTGACTTGGTTCTGATGTAACTGTTTCATTGTGACGTATCGATTCTTAGCCATCCGCAGTGCCACCCCTACCCCCCTCAAAACCAACCATTCCACGTTCGGCGTATGTACCACAAAATAATACAGCTTTAATTCTATTTATAAAAACCCAGAGAACGGTTTAACATTAAACTGCCAAATGTGCACTAAATTAATGGTACAGAGTTAGCTATTAACTGTTTTCATGTTATCGTAAGCGCATGTAGCTTAATACAAATAACGCTTCTTCATTTTGATTTATACGAAGTATAGCTGATTTAAGAACTGACAAAAATGAAAAACAAATGGTACTGAGTCGGTCATCACCTGTTTTAGTGTAGTCGGCTTTACCACAAATATTGCTCATTTGAATTATAGATACAATTTGTAAGTACTTACTTAATTTGATCATTGACTATATATACCTACAGGTACCTATAGGATTCATATATAGTCCATACTAGATATATATAGTCAATGATTGGATTTATCCAACTGGAAGCGTATCCCCGCCGTTGTCGTCAAAATAGTAATGCTATTTTGTCATTTTATGTGTAGCATGATAAAAAAAATAGTTCTTAACACTGCCATTCACCCTGTCTGTTCAGTGAAGGTCGAACATAGGTTTCTGTGCGCGATAAAAACGTATTAGAAATTTACCTAATGTACGCAATAGTAAGAATACATTTAGCTACTTTCATCAGCTATCAACTTCATGCTTTGCCCCCACATACCGTCAAATCTGATGTTTTGTTTTTAAATTATAGAACTATTTTTGTTTTCCTCTTCAGCTACCCTTAGTGAAATAAAAGGCTGGATCTTCACGAGAAATCCATGCATAGTATGTTCGGAGCTGAAGTATTTGCTTTGGAAGTAGTGAAGGAAATTTCGATTCAATAAATTCGTGCTTGAGGTAATATCTGATCAATTAGTTTGGAGATAAATCTTTTATTAGATAAACATAAATTGTTCATCAATATTATGGTTTAAATTGTTCGAAAATAAAACAACAGGGGTTGACGGGCTTACACGATAACCCTCAGAATGCTGTGTGGTAGGTTGTCGTGGTGGCACCTTGACATGTACTGTAAACCGCCACCTCGAGTATTACTGTAGTAGTGGGTTATTACAGTCATCGTTTAGAGATTAAAACAAACCATTTAGTAATATTACATGGTTGTTCTAGACATTCGGCAACTGAGATATTAAAGTGTTAAATACAGTACCTTGTACCCCATGTTTCCTTATTGAGCCATTAAAATTCCACTAAAATAACACTTCATTACCTACCCTGTAGCAGCAAATCTAAATACTCACGTCACTAAGTAAGGAATCTATCTGAAATGTTTAAGGAATACAACTAGTATATGTAATGTATGTATTACGTTTATTTGATAATCAGGCAAATGGGAAATTTGCTCTGTCTGCAGGTTTGCTGCAGCGGGAATCAAATATTACGACAATAGTCCCTCAAATAACATAAATGAATGAACATCATACTGATGATTGTTTTACGGCTGAAATTTTCCATGGTGGCTGGGTGAAAAGCATAATAAATGTATCATAATTCTAAACGATAACGTAAATGCCCTGTTTAGTTATTATAATAGATTCGCTATTGGATCTAAACCCACGGTAAGATTAGTTAGACGGATGTAATTTTTTGTTATCAAAATTGCCGTTAGAGTTTTGGCAAAGAGGGCCCAGGAACGGGCTATTTGCCAACTCCCCCCCTCACGTCGCCCACTACGTTAATATTTTTAGTTATTTCCTCTATCCTGGAACAAAACCAATATAATTAGGAACTGTCACAAATCCTTTTGTTTTACCAACCTATTTTTAACTATTGAAGTCAACATGACAGTTTCTTCTACGTTTTAGTATGTTCAATATCACTGACAGCGTTGAGGTACACGTAACGTATTTATTAGACGTCCAAATCAATCCAGGAGGCAATGATGGATAAACAAATCTCTTTTAAAATCGTTATTGATCTTGGACAGTTATAATGCCAACGTTGATCAGGTGTGTGGGAGATGGGTGTTCATATCGAATAACGTAATTTCTTAAGATAAGATTCTTACGACGACAAAGAGTGGTGTGCACAAACAGTGAAGGGTTTAGCTGGTGATGTTAGGGTGCAAGTACAGCACACACTGCGGTCCCATTTCCACTTTTGAAAAAAAATTTTGTTTATTAATTTTTCAATTAATCCTTTTATTACTAACTACAGCACGCCACAAATGAAATAAGTGTTTCCAGACTCTTTCCGAACCCGAACCCTGCATTATTGAAGTACAAAATTTAGGCCAGTTATTCCAACGTAGTTCATTTTAAGTAGGCCTACCCGCAAGGAGTTTTCACGTTGATTACAAACAGCTGGCAACACACAATGCTGAGTAAATCAAGATCAAATTAAAATATGTTTTTATGTGCAATTTGTGTACAATGTTAAATATACGAAAATATAGTCCCGCATAAACCATGCAAAACCTGTGTGTGGGGCGAGTAATAAGATGAATATTAGATGGAAATATTATGCTTGGAAGGGAACTGAAATAGTAGTTAAGTGCATGACATTGGTCCCCGAGGTCCCGGGTGCAAATCTCTCCCAATCACCTATGGATTATATCTATGTAAGTGATGATGCCGCAACCTCTAGGCCTAGCCAGAACTAATGTGAAAAAAACAATCCCGGTCTGGAGCCTAGAAGATAAAAAATCACTACTAATTGTCAATGTTTCTGTTACAGTTGTACCGAGACGACGAGCCCGACTGCTCCGAGATTTGCCAGTGCGGTGAAGGGGAAGTTTTGTCTTGCAATACTATCTGTGTTGAGCGTGCTGCCTGCAAGACTGACTTTGCTTTCTACAACCACGCTGCGCCTGCCTACCAGGCTTACCGTGGCCGTTGTCTGTGCTATTCTGGCAGGTTCATCTGTATGCGACCTGCACCTGGTAAACAATACGTCGAGAAGAATCGTTCTCCTCACCACAGGATTGGTCTATTTCTATTCCTCTGCGCAAAAAACTCAGAGGGTCTTGGCAATGGTGTTGTTCTACATTGACTTGTCAGTCGCACGTAGTTATTCCGTTCTGGGTTCAATTAATTGCAAGTCAACAGTAAAGTTTTGATTAACATGGATTGTTGAGGTTATGTCTTTAATGATTCAAATGTGAAGCTTTAATTGTTTTTATAATTGTTGTTTTTTAAATTTTTTTTAAATTGTTTCTTTTAGACAATTACTTATCAGGTCAAAATACGTTAGCTGCCCCAAAATACTTTGAATACAAATTGGGTAGGTTAGGATTGTTGTTTGGTGTAGGTATGTAATTTTAAAAGGAAATATAATATTTTGGGGGATTTTTTTTTAATGGATGAGCTATTCTTATAAAGCGACTTAACAGTAATTTAAAGGTAAATAACAACTTTACTTGTGAACTGAAGAAAGAACGAAAGAACAACGTAGACAAGCTGACTTGACTCTATGTAGACTGAGGACCGAACCCACCAAGCTGTTTTTTTTTACGCATTCGCTATGATGCCTCAAATCCTGTGATGAAATGCAAGTAGAGTTGATCCCTAGAAGAACAAGAATATGTTAAACTTCGCCATATTTTCACAATCCTAAGAGTAGGCCTATAAGAAACAAGTGTCCAAACCATAAACAAATGCAAAAAGTGACAATTTCATTAATATTAGGACAACCGTTTGCCTCTGATTTAGAAGGGCAACAGTGTGTTCAAACACTCAGCCTTGGCACCTGACAGATAATCCCTCAGGGGCCATGGCTGTTTGAACGCACTGTAAAAATTATACTGAACAAACAGAATATGGGTCAAAGGGTTGGGGGGTAAATTTACAAGTATTTTGGTGATGTTAATGTCGAAGATATTCAACAACAAAATCTGATTTACACATGCATTAATTTCCAATGAGAAATTCTTTACTATATTTTTGCAAAAGAAACTTTTGGTCTTAACTATTTAATCATTGTAAACCTTAAACTAGTTAGTTGTTTCTTATGAACTCTTCTACATTAGGACCCTTGTTTCCCAAATAGCACTCAAACAAACATTTTGGGTTAAGCCTTAGAGCGTAAAACTAATCTACCTCCTACAGCTATGATGTCAAGACATTAAAGATGAATGGAATTTGGCTGAGAGGAATCCCCTGATAAAACCTCTTTTATCCACTTATTCAATGGAGCTTAATCCTAGACAATGAAATTCACCTCCATTCTCTTAAATTGTTGATAGAAATTAGGAGAAAACTTCTAGATTGGCAAGGATAAACAATTTTAAAGCAAGTTTCAATTTTTCAAACATTCTCTAATTTCCACATTTTTTTAAATCCACATTCAGTAGTTGATTGCTCACTGTTAATATCCTCAATGGCTTTTTCAATGCTATATAAGCTCAAACTGTTCAAATGTTTAATATTTATGTTATACGGATATCTTACTTTACAGGTACGTACAAGCTACCTCAAGGGGTTTTCCTTTTTCTGGGCTACAGTGAGGCAGATGAAAAACTGCTCAGTCCTCTAATCAAAATACAGGTGGAAGACGCTGCCCTGTCTTTGCAGAGCCTCATCAAAAGGAGTATAAGAAAACAGGTAGAGTATACAAACTGGCCCAACATTTTTTGTCTTCTGTTTCATCTTCATTCATCATACTTGTCTTCATTTCATATAACGTTATATAGGCTACAGTATACATGGACTGATGTAAAATTTGAAAACAAAATTTTATATAATATGAAAATTTCAATTCAATATCTAGATCAAAAGCTCTCCAAAAGACTTACTCAAATATCAAAGTCATCTTTGTCACAACATACTTGTATATTCTCTGCAATATGCTGGCAATATCAGATAAAATATGTAAGTTAAATATGTTGAATTTCAGCGTATACAAATTGATCAACCACTATTCTAAATCATGAATTTTGTTTTTTCCAGTTCAACTGCAATTTGTCACTATACAGTTTGTCACAAGAGAACATCATCCTAGTGGCTAAACTAGCTGATGTGAACTCCTCCTTGACCAGGAATTTACAACAGCAGTCCAACAGTAATTTGTTTCGCAGGGAAAAGGTGAGAAATCGGAGCAATCACTGAAAAAGCCAGCTTATTTAGTTACATCTAGAAATTGTTAACCATTCCCTTTACACTTATAACACACCTCTAACACTCCACAAAATGTTTTTTATTATGTTTGGCGAAACTATTAAATTACATTTCTACGATTTCACAGCAGGTGCGTACTGAGTGAAGCTGGGTAGCTCAGTGATTATATTACTTGTTTCGTAATCTCAGTTTCCGGTTTCATCCTTAGAAAGGTTAGTTCCAAATATTGATGGTTCAAACCTGGATCATTTGGCTTTTAATTAATGGTTCTGGCAAAGAAACAGTTGATCCTAGTCAGTAACGAAGCTACACAAATTATTTCACTCCATCTTACATCCACCATTGTTCATATCCTCTTTATTCATATTCAGACTAAAATACACGCCAAAGTTTGTGCGGCTACTGAAAAGAATTTAATTAAATTAGAGAATGGGTATTGGTTGAATTAGATTACAGCTTTATTACTGACTGAGATTAGCTCGTTCTTTTTCTGGCCAGGACCCTTTCTTAAAAACGCAATGGTCAACAACATATACTAGCTGGGTTCAGTTTTGAACTATAAAAACTGCTTCTGACTTTTCCCAGGATCAAATGGCAGAATAGATGTGTCACTTAAGTGGGCTTGCAATTTAAAACTTTGGCTACTCCTAAAATACCCCGTTTTCTACTTAGCTCTTAAAATTCATACATATTACTAAAAAGGGTGTACTAAGTTTAGTATACCTGTTGTCTGGTCAGTAAAAAGGGGCCGTAGACCTTTTATCAACTCTAAAATCCCAATAATGAAGGGCATAGCTGGACACAGTCGTCCTTGATCATCAACAGGTCCTGGCTGAAAAGAACTAGCTGATCTTAGTCAGTAACAAGGCTACTATCTAATCATTACACTTTTGTCATTTTACCTTAAAATGTCCTATTGTGTTGGTGTATAATCTAACTAATCTAATCTCTGTATGTATGACAGTGAGTTGTATTTCACAGGAGGAGTGTGTCGGAGCACTACAAGACTTCAGCGAGAAGGTCAATTCACGACACCCAATCGTACACTCTCATCTGCTCCTGTCCATCTTTAAGATGGCTGAAGTAGAAGTTGTGGTTCCTGCGTCCAGCTCAAGTTCACCAATTATTGTTAAGCATGTGCTCAATATAGCTGTAGTTGTATGTTTACTATTCGCTCAGCAATACTTTGTCACACACTTGATATCGTGACATTAGGCGCACCCTAGGGTCTCATGTTTATATCTTGCATCGTAACTAGTCTAAGTTCACTATTGACATCAATTCATATAATTAGAACATGGCAAACGAAATAGACCCCTTTTAGATAAGTAGGTTTGTGACAAATTAAATGACCGTGATTGATTCTGCCGTCAAATCAATAGATGTCAGGTTTTTTGCACAGTATGATTATATTTTGGATAGACGAGTGACTAAAACAAAACCACAAAGTAATAAATCAAGCTGACATGAATTGAATCGAGCAATTATCATTTTAAACTTTCATTTTCAAAATAGTTAACTAAAAATAGTTTTTCCATCAGTGGGAAAGTTTTTTATTTAAATTCCTTGTATTTTCAGAATGTAAAATAATAGAGCTAAAGAAAACAAAAATTAAATCCTTTAGAAACTAGACAGTTTTTTAGCAGTGGTGCACCTGTAAATTATGGAATACCAAAACTTATTATACCTATACGATCCTGTTATCAAACAAACACATTTATAATGTACTGATGAAAGTTAGCTGTTGTCAACAGCGCTTCTTACTATGGTTTGTAATACAGTTTTTACTTTGGTTTGTACTACTTACTTTCAAAGATATAATTCAAAGTTTGGTTACTAGTATGCCAAACTTAATTAGTAAAAAATTTGTAAATTTTTGTCATTGGGTAGTTAATTCTTATGTTTCAAAAAATTTTGAAGATTATTACGGCTCCGTGTTTGCAATGAAGTTCTTCCAATTCCTTACAATATTTATGTGGACTGTTAGTCTAGATTTTAATAATGACAACAGAACAATATCTTAAAATTGTATATGACCTTTGTATGATCATTGGTTATTGTTTTGTCCATTGATTTATTTGAAGATGTTTAAAAACAATATGACTGGTCATTTCACAATAACAAATCCTATGGAACCAACAACCAATTGACATACTATTGCATCAGTGCACCACTGATAAATCTCCAATAATGTATACTTCCTTGCAGACTCAAGGGCCAAACTTTTGGAATATGAATCTTCCTTAACACAAGTATAAAGTGTTCTAATTATAATGGATTGGAAATTCAATGCTTATCAAAGTTTATTATTTGTTAATTGTTATATAATTTCCTATTGTATTTTTGTAAATAACTATTACAAAAATACATTAGTAAATTTTAAAGATAAAAATTGTCTTTCTTTGTCTTTGGATCCAAGTCATAGGCCTTAGTAAATGCTGTGGTCATTAAATTCTACACAATATTTTGAATTGTTTTCTAGCAACAGACTAAACATGATCTGGTAATACGGATTTCACTTTTTAATTCTCAGTTGTGACATACAAAGTTTCAGCTTTTCCAATAGTTACAAGGATCAGGTCTCGGCTGACAGAGTATATTGGCTATTAATGGTAAAAACGTAACTTTTCAGACAATCCTTGACAGAGTATATATTGTTTATGGGAATACTGCAGAACAACCTCTGACTGTCTCACTGTACAAACAGTTTTGCAGTTTCTATTAAACTTGTTGTTGCTGGCTCATATTTGCCTCTGGCTGCTTGTTAAACTAATCATAAACATTTTATTAAAGTACGAGTGAGTAAAGTTAATGCTAAATATAAAATGTAGATGATCGTGGCACAAAATTTAAAATCATGCTAAATAAGTTGTAGTGGAGTTTAATTGAACTTAACACAATATTACTTTCAAGTTTCAAACAATAAGATGTTTAACAATAGGAAGATTGTATATCCAATTCAAACAAAAACAGTTCAAATAATAATTCTGCCTAAATTTATATATCTTTATTCATGTATAAATCCCAAAGTACCCATGAACTTTTGGGAAAACTACAAGTCACACCCCCATATACTTAAAATGTTTGTCATGACGAGAAACCTTGCGCAAAACTATCCATTATTTCATAAATTGCCCTTTAATGTCGTAATTCCTTTCTAAAGGGAACTTTTTATGTACCTAATGTTAAAAATAGCCTCAGCTGTACTTATTTGTATTTTATTCTTTAAATGTATTACCTTATTAATATCAGGTGTGACTATTTGTTTGTATTACAGTATTATGTTTTGTTTATTTCAGCTTAACTTAACCAATCAATAGTTTTATTAATGCTTATGAAGTCAAACGGGACCCCGTGGGTAACAGCTAGTACACTGTAATACATAAAGATTATTTTAAATTGTTGCTAGAATACAAATAAAAATCTCATTTTATTTCAAGAACTATCACTGCAAGTTCAAAACAGGAATAGCCACAAGGTGTATCCACTATCTATCACACATATATCTAGGTTATATACTTCCACCTAGGATGAAGAAAATATTGAAAAAGATTTATGTCCACTGACCACAAGCATTTGATAAGGTCTTCAAACATTATATAGCACTTACTATCTCCTAACATTGAAAGCAAATATGTAACAGAATTTCACAATGCTGTAGTGTGAGTAAGAAAACGCACAAAAAACTACGCATTATGATGACAAAAGCTATAACTGTGCAAAGAACTATCGCTTATGGTTTGTATGTCAAATTAAAATTCTCGATATAAACTATCACGGTGGACTATTTTATATTGTTGGTGTTAGTTGTAAGTGTCTCAGAATTATCTGTGAAACGCAACATATCATTGGTGTAATCTTAGGTGTTAACCCAACTGTGGTCAATTTCTAAATCTATGGTCTTGTTAATCTATCATTGTATGGATTGATGTTATCCTAGAACAGGAAATGTATAAACACTCGAATTCTTATTTTTATACACGAGACTTTATCAAGATTAATAATTATTGTTATAGAGTACTATAGAGTTATCTCCTCATTTATGGATAGTGGATAGTATACAAAATGTTTAGTAGAACAGTAAAATGCTATAACCATTGTTATTGTTTGAATGGGAAAGGTGGTGAATGAGAGATGGGTGTCTAGGTGTATTGTACACAAGAGCTTAAACAATGTTTGTAAAATATTATTTATCTAGAAAAGATATTCACAGTTGTGATGAGTGCTGTTGTTGAAGTTGTTGTGTACCTTCCAAACTGAAACTGAAACATATTAATTTGATGAAACATTGAAGTAGACATTTAACACAAAGTATATACAACACTGTATACTGTCTATTGATCAAGAGCTCTACGATATTAAGCTATTTAGTTTAATGACTGGACCATATTCATTTTTATCTTACTTGCAGTATGTAAGTTAGGATGTCAGATTTTACTTGTTTTTAAATAATTCTTTCTCGGTTAATTTTCACACTTTTGGCGGTTAGTTAATCAGAAACAGTTGTATACATAATAAACAGTTTAAAAGCAGTAAGTATCACGTGTTAAGATGGTTGTCAGTTTGGGTTCAATCATTAGTCGCACACAAGATTTCCGCAGAAATGAAGTACCTCACTGCATATTTGTGAGAGTCAAGAAGCTTAAGTTGAGTGTGCCTACACCTAAACAGACCGGTTAAACCTGCTCCTCTGTCACTGAGATGAGTGTAAGAGATTTCAAGTACGGCAGTTTAAAAATGTAGAGATTTGCCAGTGCTTTTGGGAGATACTTAAATGGATTTTATAACTATAAACAGTATTGAAATTTTATGGTCGAATAAATTACTAATAATATACTTCAAGGTTTCCCTGTTAAAATTATCTCTATGAATGGACTGTTACAACAGCTTTTTATCTTTTGTAAACATGACAAATTATAAGATAACCAGCTTTGTGTTTGCCTCTCATTCTTAAGCAAGCCATAACAAACACTGAAACAAATAAATTGTTATTGTCGGTAGATAATAGATATGCACCCAAAAACATACGTTTTAGTTGATTCCTTTAATAAGATATTAAAAATAGGATTTAAATATTATTTTGTAATTTCTTCTTACTACATTTGAATTTAAAAACTGGACCAATTTGATCAAATTGGAACAAAACTGGTCTTTTATTACACAGTAATATAGGCTACATACATACATATACTACTACATATAAATACATATACATACATATACATACTACATATACATAAATATAGTACACATTGTGTTGGTCATAAGTTAAGGATAAAAATTCAGTTTACAAAATTGCAAAATCAATATTAGATGAACACAAGTGTGGAAACTGACCTCTACAACAATCTTAATACTAATCATCAGGTCAATAAGTTTTTTTGTAAATGTCAAATAAAAAAACCATCCATTTATGTTTGTTTGAAGATTGACATTTAATTTTATGCTGATTCAAGATAACTATTTTTTAAGATACAACCACCTTTGTTATTGTCCCAGCCCTTTTTAAATGTTTATATTTAAATCAGTTATATCAACAGAGTTAAAGAACTTTGATCCCTTAAACACTACTGGCATGTTACAATGAAGAAACAATGGCCAAGAAGCCAACTGAAAGTCCAGCCTTGGCTAAATAGCTTAGAGTATGTTATAAGCAGAAAATACAGCGGTATGTTGAAAAGTTTTCATTGTTCGATATCTCCAATAATTGTTAGAGCGATGCAAACATAAAATATCATTCAAGCAGTGACAGAGAGATCCTAATTTCTTGGCTATTACGATGGAAACCTATCCTCACCTCTGCTGATCCTGTTTACAAGATAAATGTACATGTACTTGTAATGTAATGTAATGTATTCTCGTTGCACTATATTGTAGTACAGCCGAGTCTATGGACTAGGTGCTCAGATTCTGGCTGTGTCGCACTGTGCCACTATACTAGACTAGTTTAGCTTCCTACACTCACTAGAGTTAGTTCACGTTAGTGCTTTATTCGTATCGTGGCAAGACTGTCGTTAGACACCCGATGCACTTTACCTGATGATAAACCGTACATATCATGTTCGTGTTAGTACTACTGTAAGTAGAGGCTGGTCCTCTCACTGCCTGTTCCCTTTCTATTCCTCCGTTCCGTTGCCTAACGCTCGATCGACCACTAAGGTTTGCAGGGAAATTCTAATCTGTTGAGATTTTATTAAATGTGACATTTTGTCAAACTATGTGGCAAACGTAATAACTGTGATCGGATTAAAGGAGCTAAATTTTGTTACGGTTGTTGTTGAGGTATACAATTAATTATCCGACAAATAGCTTTAATCGAATGTTATATGTTTGACAGTTGCTTTTATCTTTTGTAATCTGAGGAGCGTTTTACAGTAGAACTCTGACCAACTGATATTGGACTGTTTTTCAAAAGTGGATTGATAAGCAAAAGGGCCCAGAAATGTTTGAATTTTATAACTTTGTTTGGATCGATCGACAATTTTAGAAAACATTGTAAATCCTGGGTGAATCAAGTAAACTATGTCTCATCGTACAAATGTTTAAAATAGACATATATTTTAACTAAGCACCAGAAATCCTATTCTTAATTTGAATTAAGGCGGTTGGAGTTCTACAGTGTTCAAAACTTAACTGTTAATCACTATAAGGATATAGAGTATGTATGAATTTAAATCACTT